CTGTATAAATTACAAAAAAAAAAGAAAAAATTAAGTTTCATTATTTATGTTTATTTTTATAAAAAAAAAGACAGGGAAAATGTTTACAAATATACAATGGAATTTCGTAAAATTTTGTTTGTCCAGCTTCAAATTTCTCCACGTTTCTTCGCCATCTTACGCTCATCGGCACATTTTCGCGTTATTACTTGACGAACTTGATTTTGCCGAACATCACATCTATACATAACGACACTCACGATGTCTTCGACCAATTCAGTGTTTAATTGAGGTCTTGGATTCCTACCAGTGTCAAGCAGAGCGTTGCTGACACGTCCTGTCAAACAATGGGTTGACATTGTCCCTCTGGTGAAGAGGGCCTCCATCAACCTACGGGTTGCATTTTTATAAGCAATTCCATTTAATAGACCGGAATTGCTCCGTGAGTATCATACTCCCGTTTGGACCAAAAGTGGTCATTTCTCTATCATCCTCGTCACTATCAGTCTCCTCGTCAGTCTCCTCGTCATCCCTTTCTTCCATTGCTTCCTCACGAAAAACTTCTTCATCATTTACGTTTACTTCAGCAATTGGTTCCATTGCTTCCTCCCGCAAAACTTATTCGTTATCTACGTTTACTTGAGGATCTGAAAAATAGATAGAATAAATAACAAAGATTATGATATTAATGGAAAGTGTAAACTTACCCATTACAAAAATTAGTATGTTTTGGGTTAAGTGCAAAATCCAAAACTAGGCTTGTGACTGTTACAAGATACAAACTTGGAATGATGAGTTTCTGGTACTTTTCGCCCTTTTTATACCAAAATGAAGCTGTTTGTACCTTCAGTACGAATTTCCAACGTCCAATGAGCTGCAAGTAGGAGAAGGAAGGACCATAAAAAAGGGTGGCCATAAAAATATGAACCATCTACCTGTTCAAAAAATTTGCAAATTCTACAAATATGATCCAACTGTCATTGGAAGTCTTAAATATTTGTTAAATTAGATTGCTTATTAATAATTGCAATTAGTATTAATAATTTGTAAAGACACTCGATTTTGGAAATTTCCAATTTGACCGTAAATTACAGACAATTCGTAACAGCTACAAATATGACAGTCAATACGTTGGAATTCCCAAATATTTGTCTTCAATAAGAGTACTTATTAATAAGTTTACGAAAATCAAGAAAAATGATAATGTATGATAACAAAACCATCTGATGTTTTCATCGTATGAACGTATTTGTTCATTCATGTTTAAATAAATAATAAATTTCCGCATTGATTTCACAGACAGTGCAAAATAAATTGTTTTTTTTTTTCAATTTAAAAAAAAACTCAGCAAAAATTGCAAAGTTCTCCTTTTTTGCATTAAACTTTCAAAATTTGAATTTGA